CGATTTAAGCTAGACAACCATTAGAAGCACAAAAGCACTAGGTGGCCGTCTTATCCTTGTACGGAACTCCTCAGCAGTACACACTCACGATCCCGCATGCCGGACTCAAACCCAGGACCTCCGGTCTTGCTTGCGAACGCTTAACCTTCATACCATAAACCGGTTGTTGAAGTTGTTTTGTGGGGATTGGTTTTCAAGTGCGAGACTGCGGAAGAGCACTGCTGAGGAATCCCATATAAGGACGGAACGGCCGTTTAGTGTTTTTAGGTTTCTAATGGTTGTCTAGCTTAGATCGACTCATGAATTCAACTATGAAAATGGAATCTCGTTTACCATCTGTATTATCGTATGCGCAGTATCATTGGTACAAATTGCATTAATAACAAATGTTTTCCCAGAAAACAATCTTGGACAAAGATTAGTAACCCTTGTAAGTTCATAAATAAAAACATTTTAAAAAGCGTAGAATAAGAAAATTCTGAATTTGAGGTTGGTTTTTGATAAGGTGTAGATAATTAAGAAGTTCCATACAAGGACAGACTAACTGCCTAACTCCTTCAGTTTCCAACAGTTTTCTAGTTAAATTACTTAGAGAAGAAAACTAATTTAAAGTTAAGACTATTGTCAGAAACACACTTTGTTTATATAGGTGACCAAACAGTTGGTCTATTTAAGAAACATCCTATTTTTTGCTTTTCTAAAAAACAGAGAAACTTCAAGTGATATTTACGAATGAAAATATTTTTTCATTATGTGTAAAACGATAAACATCGTCTAATTATTCGTATACAGATTTGAGCGTACACTTGGGTCTCTGATGCAAGATAAATTAAGAGTAACTGGTTATTTTTTGTCACACATAGGAGATAACACTTAAACGTACTTGTAGAACAGAGCATAGAAAATCAGTTTTGAGTTTGAAACCTAGGACATTGACATAATTTAGATTACTAAAATAGACCATGTATTGGTTGTGATGTTGTCTGAGTTCGTCTAAATCTTTCAAAACTATCGTTTACAACTTTTTATAACATTAGAAGCTATGGCTATGCACAGAATAAGACTCGAACTCTGTAAATGAAAGGATTACGTTCTATGACTTGATTTATCATTGTATTTATCAAAATCGTTACATTTCTTAAACTTACATATCAAAATGTTTTTTGATTCCATAGATAATCAAGTATATTCATTTGTTAATTTATTCCACTTATTTATTTACTATAAAGAAGTGGCTTACATTAAGTCACGAAACGTCAGAAATACAATTATTTTACTCATTCGGATATAACAAAAAATATATTTATTACTGACGAGTTCAGTTTGTCTGATTAGGTGGAAAATAAATTAAGTCCATCTGAGATATAACAAAAAATATACTTACTATTAACTTTCCATCCAATGCTCAACTTATTTGAAACCATCAAATCCAACTTTTTAAGCAAAGATGGATATTGGCTGGCAGTGAAATCCAGAACAAGCGTCTCGTCTCATTTGAGAATTGTCAGCTGGATGTATCTGCATCTCAGAGTTTATATTCACCCTGAGATTCGAACCCAATACCATTCATTTTAAACGTCATCGCGTTACAACCCTGAGATGCAGATGCATCAAGTTGACGAGTCCCAAATGGGACGAAACGAGCGTTCTGAATTCTATGGCTAACCACTATTAATCTTTGGTGGTGATCAATCTGTCAAAACAACCACTAACTATTAATCTGTGCTTAAAAAGCTTGTGACTTAAGGCTATATCAAGGCAATCCGCACAGGATGTACATATGCCAACAAGAGGCTGATCAATTGCAGTCCTATATAACAATGGGAAGATACAGGTAAGTAACATCAAGTGAATGTATCAAATCCAAACTTGGCATCGATTTCATTGATTGTCTTACAATTAACTGTTACAACTATCATTTCACTTAATCCTTTGTATAAATTCATTTTTCGACAAAGTAGCAAACCTATTTTAATAATAAGATTAAAGTATTTTTTCGAACAATGTACTTCACATAAACTGATCAAATATTTATATGTAAAAAAAATAAAGGTCAACCAGACAAACTGAATGACAGCTGAAGTGAAGATATTTGAGAAAATTAGTATGAATTATAGCACTCTAAACAATAAATCAATATTATCGGGATAATTTTAGTATAAGTACAAACAAACAGAACATAGAAAAGAGAACTTGAAATTTGGTTGAATAAGACTTCAAAAAGCTTAGAGTGTTTTCTCATAACAACTTTTATGTAAAACAATAAAAATATTAAATGGAAATATTATGTTTAAAATAGTCTAAACGATTGAAGTTTAACTAGTAGTGAGGTTAGATACGGCTTATTAGGGAATGATGGTAAATCACTTGTTGAGGTTGTGAATCTATATCGACTGAGATAGTTGGGCCTCGTGTTACATATGCCTGAACACTGATTACCACGACGCTCAGTTCTGAGTAGTGTTGGAGACAGTTGGAAGAAAGTTAGAGGCAGTCAAACCAAAACATGATATCAGTCCTTGAAGTCACTGACTTCTAGTCTGAACCATGTTGCTAAATGCAGACCACTTGGTTGGGGTCTGCGTGACTCTGCAGACATAGCTCAGAATTGATCACAATGACGTTGGTGTTTACACTCTTTGTCTTCTCTTCAACTGTGAGATTAAAACAACTTTATATCTTTCTTCCTACGAACTAATTTTTTCCCTGTATCATATCCTTATATGCAATCTTTCTTTTATATATTACTACCATTGATGTCACTACTTCTATGAATTTGTGTTCATCTTGTTGTGCTAGTGAGCTGTGGTAACTTGAATCGATGCATATATGTGCCTGGTCCTACGTTGTAACTGAATGACTGACTGACTAACTGAATCAATTATTTTCCTAAAAAATTTCAGACCGATTAGCCTACAGAAATATTGGAATTATTATAAAATTAATTATGTAAAATTATTTCAAATATAATTTTCATATTTTATTTCTTCCATATTTGTTAAACTATTCCATTGGAATCTTAACAATTGTTCAAATGTAAATGAGAAAAAAACGGATTTTTTTACTATATGTTAGATATTAAAGAAGAAGAAATGTATTCGTAAAATCTAAGCGAATTAATTTAAATGAAATCTAATATTTTTGTAAGTAATGATGTATAGTGACTAGCAGTGGGATCCTGGACACGCGTTTCATCCTATTTGGGACTCGTCAGTTGGATGTACCTGTATCTCAGAGTTCATGTTCACTCTGGGACTCGAACTCAGTACCGTTCGCTTCAAACGACATCGCGTTATCCACTTAGCTACTGAGTCCTGATAGCCACTTGCTTGTGCAATGGGGTGAATTTAAATTCACTTGGTATTATTTGGTTTGTATCTTCCCATTGAGGCTTAAAACTGCAATCTAACATTTCACCTAGTAATCTAGTCTAAACTTTTTCAACAGAATATTATTCAAAAATTACAATGATTAAATAGGATTAAAAGTATATGGTTCATTGATTAACTATAAACTAAATAGATTATCAAACTAACATGAACAATTAAAAAGAAAGAATGGTATTTGTAAAATCTTAGCGAAAGAATTTGAAGTAAATCCATCGTTTCACCTGGCAACCTGCTCCAAGCTTTTTCAAGGAAACAATATTTCAAATAGATATTTACTTTAATATGTAAATGACACATGTAATATGCAATGAAAAGTGTATTAAAATATCTTCAAAATATGTATAGATTCGGTACCCCCCTTTCAATTCAATTTCTTTTGATTCTATAGATTACTTTCAAAGAATAATTCTTTTGGAGTGATCTTATTTTGTTTTGTTTTTTTAAATCTTAATATTCTAATATTAGAAAATCTATTGCCTTTTATACTATGGTTCAATTATAGAAAATAATCTTTCATTATTTATATAGAATATAAATGATTATTTCTAGTAGACATGACATTTCTTAATTAATCTTACTTATTCATTATGTAATCAGTTTTCATGAAGATTTTTCTATACGATCAATATTGTTACCATAAATGTTCGTATGTAACTAGATTAGAAAGCAAAATGAAACTCACAACTCTTTTCTTAATTACTTGTATATATATATTTTTTCACTCTGAATACATTTACAAATGAATTAATTAATAAAGAATTTGTATTATTAGTTGTAATATATAGTGTTATGTTATTACCATTATTATTATTATTATTATTATTATTATTATTATTATTATTATAACAGTTCATTTGTATCAACAATTCATACTAGCTCAAGATAAAGATCATTTTTCATTTTATTTTCATTTGCATTTGGTTCATCTGTATTTACCACTATTGCTATTCTTGGCCATCTCCGTTGTCTTCCTCATTTGGTGGAGGAACTGGCTCTTCTGGATATGGTGTTGGTTGTGGCATTGCTTCTGTCGTATACTTATTTCGATATTTTTTATATTTTCCTTTGCTTCCATACTTTCCTTTCTTTCCTTTCTTTCCGTATTTTTCGATTTTCCGTTTTTCTTACTTGATACCCGTTTGGTTGACGGCTTATATTTCTTATATTTAACATATTTTTTCGGCTTAGATTCATTCTCTTCTTCTTCATCGGGTTTATCATTTTCCCCTCCATCATTATCGTTTTGTCCTGCATCAGATACAGGTATAGGCGGTGGAAGATTTTCCGGATCTACGTACTTATTAGGTAAATAATTCCCATTTCGATTATATCTGGTAGGATCTTTTGGTGTGCGACCATTAGATCCTTTACCGTTTGATCCACCATTACCGTTTTGTAATGCATTAGGAACAGGTATAGGCGGTGGAGTATTTTGCGGTTTATTGAGATAATCAGGTAAATAATTCCCATATTGATCATATTTGGTAGGATCTTTTGGTGTATTACCATACTCTGCTTCACCTTTTAAACCATGACCTTCTCCATAATATCTTGGTTTATAATTATGATATCCACCGAAAACTAAATCTCTCACTTCCATATCATATCTATCTAAATCATTATAATATCCGTGATGATGACTGTGGTTATTGTGTGGCCGAGGATGATCTCTGTCGCCATCAGGCCGATCTGGTCCTTGAGGTTCTTCACGACGCGGAGGTTTAGGGGGTGGTAGAGGTACTTGTTGTTGACCATCATCAGACCCCGAGGTGGTGATGGTGGTGGTGGTGGTGGTTGATCTCCATCATCTGGATTATGGGGTGGAGGATGTTGATGATGATCATCATAATTTCCTGAATAATATCCACCATATAAATCATTTCCATTATTGAAAAATGAACTAACATCATCATCATAACCATCATGTGAAAATCCTTTATCACTATAAATTAATGGTATACATGTAATCAAATAAAAATAAATTAATTTCATATTCTATCGCCTATTTTTTTCCTTCTATATATTCTTAAATAGAATTACTTTTATTCAATTTCAATGAACATTTAAAAATAATTCAACTTAATAACTTATATTTATATACAATCAAAACAAATAGAAGAAATGAAATTTCTTTATCGAAAGTTCATATCAGAAAATAGATGCACTTAGATACATGCATATTTTGGAAAAAAATCAATTTTACTCATTGATTTTTATCAAATATTTCTTTACTTAATAAAAATCTTCTTTTTTTCAATGTATGTATCTGGGAGGTGGGAACATGGGATACAGTGGACGGATAGGATGCAGTTGGTTAATTTAGACTTCATAGATGATCTGGTTCTTCTATCGTACATGCAACAACAAATGCAGGAGAAGACGACCAGTGTAGCAGCAGCCTCAGCATCAGTAGGCTTCAATATACAAAAATTGAAAAGCAAGATTCTCTGATACAATACGACATGCACCAATCCAGTCACACTTGATAGAGAAGATTTGGGGAAGGTAAGAGCTTCCAAATATATGTGCAGCATCGTTGATGAACACGGTGGATCTGATGCACATGTGAAGGCGCGGATCGGAAAAGCAAGAACAGCATATTTACAACTGAAGAACATCTGGAACTCAAAACAACTATCAACCAACACCAAAGTCAGGATTTTCAATACATATGTCAAGACAGTTCTACTATATGGGGCGGAAACCTGGATAAAAACGAAAGCCATCATCCAGAAAATACAAGTGTTGTTAACAGTTGTCTACGCAAAATACTTCGGATCCGTTGGCCAGACACTATCAGCAATAACCTACTGTGGGAGAGAACAAACCAGATCCCAGCGGAGGAAGAAATCAGGAAGAAGTGCTAGAAGTGGATAGGACACACATTGAAGAAATCACCCAACTGCGTCACAAGACAAGCTCTCACTTGGAATCCTCAAGGACAAAGGAAAAGAGGAATACCAAAGAACACATTACGCCGAGAAATGGAGACATACATGGGAAGAATAAACAACAATTGGATAGAACTAGAAAAGAAGGCTGAAGACAGCATGGGTTGGAGAATGCTGGTCTGCGGCCTATGCTCCATTGGGGGTAACAGGCGTAAGTAAATAATTTTATTATATTAATTGGAGGGGCTTTTATAGATATTGTCTTGGTTTTTAGATTGTAAGTCGTTATAGATTAATCTGAGTTGGGGTATTTACTAAAAATCAAAAAATAGCTGTTTAGCTGTATTATAAAACGTCTTTTCAGTAGAGACTTATAATTGTACCAAGGATTAGACGAGGACTTTCAAAGTCCCTCAATGATTGTTTAACCATTAGAACTGATGGTTTAAAATATGATGATCAATAAATTTGCGATCTAAAGCGATAGTCGTCTAATATTACTGCTGATAACTCTTTTACTCTTTATATATATGTATGAATTCCAACAGCCACATCTGATTAAAACTTCAGAAGTAATTGAGACTTCACTGAGAGACATAAAGGTTCTTGATTTGACTTTTGGTTGAATTGTGAGTACCTACTGCTGAGACTTACACTAATATAAAATAACTATATATTGCTCCCCGATTTTCAGTGGTACCCCTGATGATATAATCTGCCTTCAACCTGACCAATTTTATGGATTATTAATTTGGACATATAATTGTAGAACCTGATGAGAAATTATTGAAAAGAACATTCTTCGTTCATATAATGGTGTTTTAAAATTGAGATTAATGATCAGAAGAAATATGGTTAACATGGTGTTGAAGAGTTAATGATGCAATTACAAATTAGAAATCATGTGATATGTAGAATTAGAAATGAACGGGCAGATACTGAATAACTACCTCAAAGCTTTTGTATGTATTATAACAATAGTGGTAACAATGGTAATAACAACAGTAATAATAATGTGTCTAAATTTAAGCTATGAAAATGCATAAGGGAAGGTTGTATGAACAATAATCGAATATCATCAAAACGATTATTAACTAATTGGGCTAGAAGTTGGCCAAGGTGAAAGGAGCGATTGAATACATTTTTTTCCGAATGCAAAGCTCCGGGTTTTTGATTCGAATGACTATTGCTTCAGGAGTCTGGTGGATTTAGTCAAACTGATGTTAACACAATATATTATTGTAGATGACTGCTCATGTTAGTCGTATGCTCCGTTTGTACTAAATGAGCTAAAATCGAGCCGTTAACAGTTTTAACTATACTTTTTCTTAACCACACTAGGAGGTGCTCACAAACAAGAAAATACAAATTCCTAGAACACCTGCCGATAAAACTTGCTCCACAAGAGCTATTAAATTGATAGATAAAGAAAGAGGTGGATAATCTAGATAATTTAACTTTCATTCTTGCAGCGATCATCAGACATGCAAAAAAACATTAATTGTAGTTTTCCTTCACTAAAAGTTCTTTGGTTTACTCTTTTTAACTTCAGTATTAGCACTTCACTGAGCTCATCGCCTCCAAATTATAAGCGTTTATATAGAGACATTTTGCTCACATTTGAGCCTCCCTTATAGTCCCTTTACATGGCTAAATGATTATTCATAAATTTCTCCAGATACTCATTTTTCTTCAGAGTAATACGCAATGCCTTCGTTACTTCATCAACCGCATCTAGGGAGCATATGGTCATGGTTCTATAATGAAGTGTCTTTATCAAGTTTCTCTTATATTGTAGAGAGAAAAACTAAGAAGATCTGTATATTGGCCGGTTGAAGTAGTTTTTTGGTCAAGTTTCTTACTAATGATCCATCTATTCTCTTTGTAAGTAGAATAACTGGAAAGGCTAATCTGTCTCCACTTTCTTCGTCACATAGGAATTTAATAGATAGATGAATTTCATTAAATCAGCCAAGTGTCTCTATCCGGTCAGTATGATGGCAACAATGGATAGACGTGTTGTTCATATATCGACAGTAAGATCAAACTTGCCGATGTTCTGTGCTGATTGATCGTTCCCTAATTTAGTGAGAAAAATATAAGCCATTATGGGACCTAGTGGTGAACCCATTGCAACACCATTTATATCCCGATATATTTCACCATTGGATTTGAAGTTTACGTTCGTGGTAATAATTCCTTCATGATACCCACAGGGATTGTAGTCTCTATTTCCTGTTCTCTAAGTTGTTCATAAAGATATTCAACAGTCTCCCTGTGTGGTACATTTGTCTTCAATGATGTTATGTCCAAGGACGTCATAGTCTGTCCTTTAGTGTTTATGTTTTTGATCTTGTTAAAGACTTACTTACTTACTTACTCACTTACTTACTTACTTAGTTACTTACTTACGCCTGTTACTCCTCGTGAAGGAGCATAGGCCACTCACCAGCATTCTCCATCCAACCCTGTCCTGGGCAATCCTTTCCAGCTCCGTCCAGTTGTAATTCATCCTTTTCATATCTGCTTCTATTATCCGACGCAATGTGTTCTTTGGCCTTCCTCTTTTTCGCTTCCCTTCAGGGTTCCAAGTTAGGGCTTGCCTCGTGATGCAGTTTGACGATTTGCGTAATGTATGTCCTATCCATTTCCATCGTCTTTTCCTAATTTCCTCTTCAGCTGGAAGCTGGTTTGTTCTCTCCCACAGAAGGCTGTTGCTGATGGTATCCGGCCAATGGATGTTGAGTATCTTGCGTAGACAGCTATTTATAAATACTTGTACCTTCTTGATGGTGGTTGTTGTAGTTCTCCAAGTTTCAGCTCCATACAGTAGAACTGCCTTGACGTTCGTATTGAAGATTCTGACTTTGATATTGGTTGAAAGTTGTTTTGAGTTCCATATGTTCTTCAATTGTAGGAATGCGACCCTTGCTTTGCCGATCCTCGCCTTTACGTCTGCATCTGAACCTCCTTGTTCATCGATGATGCTTCCCAGGTATGTGAAAGATTCTACATCTTCCAGAGTTTCGCCATCAAGAGTGATTGGATTGCTGTTCTCCGTTTTGAATTTGAGGACCTTGGTTTTCCCCTTGTGTATGTTGAGGCCTACTGATGCAGAGACTGCTGCTACACTGGCTGTCTTTATCTGCATTTGTTCGTGTGTACGTGATAGGAGGGCTAGGTCATCTGCGAAGTCCAAATCGTCTAATTGGTTCTGAGCTGTCCATTGTATTCCGTGTTTTCCTTCAGATGTCGAGGTCTTCATAATCCAGTCGACCACCAGAAGAAAGAGGAAGGGAGAGAGTAAACAGCCTTGTCTGACTCCGGTCCTTACTTGGAATGCATCTGTCAGCTGTCCTCCATGCACGACTTTGCACTGTAGTCCGTCGTATGAGTTCCGGATAATATTGACAATCTTCTCAGGAACTCCGTAGTGTCGAAGAAGTTTCCATAATGTCCTCCTATCTACACTGTCAAATGCCTTTTCATAATCAATGAAGTTGATGTTAGTGACGAGTTCCACTCAACTGATTGTTCAACGATGATCCGTAGTGTTGCAATTTGGTCTGTGCACGACCGATCCTTACGGAATCCGGCCTGTTGATCTCGAAGTTGGGCGTCTACTGCATCTTTCATCCGATTCAGCAACACTCTGTTGAAGACTTTCCCTGGTATTGACAGTAGTGTAATGCCTCTGTAGTTTTCACATTTGCTCAGATCTCCTTTCTTTGGAATCTTGATGAGGTGTCCTTCTTTCCAGTCCATCGGCACTTGTTCCTCCTCCCAAATCTTTTTGAATAGAAGGTAAAGCATGTTTGTAGTTACTTCGATGTCTGATTTCAGTGCTTCAGCTGGTATATTGTCGGGTCCTGCTGCTTTCCCGTTCTTGATTTGTCTGATGGCCATTCTGATTTCTTCCGTCGTTGGTGGGTTGACATCTATAGGAAGATCTGTGTGTGCTGCTTCGATGTCCGGTGGATTCATTGGAGCCGGCCTATTCAGGAGTTCCTCGAAGTATTCTACCCATCTGTTCCGCTGTTGTTGAATTTCAGTGATTGGCTTGCCTTCTTTGTCTTTGACCGGCCTCTCTGGTTTACTGTA